TTGTTTAATTTCACCCAAGTTGACAGATCTTCTATGAAACACAGTCTGCACACTAAATCTGTAGTGTGGCTTTTTTACAGTCTTCCTTACTTCACCCCAAACCAGTCACTGCAGATGGCCCCGCCCCTCACTGAGCCTGGTTCTACCAGAGGTTTCTTCCTGTTAAATAGGAGTTTTTCTTTCCCACTGTCACCAAGTGTTAGCTTATATGGGGCCATGTGGTTATTGAGGTTTATACTCCATTATTGTAAGTTCTTTAGCTTAGAATATGATTTCAAGGAGCAACATGGCAGCTCATAACAACAAGCTAATTACTGCATAGACACTCCAGCTAAATGCTGAATGAAGCAGTTGCTCTCTGAGCTGTTGTTTTCACCATTTCAGGTGTCCTTATGACAAAGATGCATTGAAGAGTGAGAATAAATAGCGGCAATTCGAGCCACATGTGTGATTTTTTTTCTTTCTAGAATTGTACAATGGGTAGCTCAGTGCAGTTGGAAAGATAATTATTGATTTCATCTTCTGGAATCAACGCTTTTTAATTCTCTCAGTTTGTTATTTAGATACTGGAAAATATCAACATTCTTCAAGTCCTCCGCTTAAATGTTTGTTGTTGCTGCTTCAGTGATCTATGAGGGATCTGCTGCTTGGTGCTTCTGGTCCAAATGCAATTATGGGAATGACTTTATTTTACTTCATTTGACAGAAAGCTATTCCACCGTGATTTTTGACCATTAGATAAACAAATGTCTCTGTAAGTGAATGAAGTCCTGATTAACAGCATTGGTTAGAATCATTTCTACAGTTTTAGTTTGAAAATTAAACAAAAAAAGGAAAATTCAGGTGGAAAAAAACATGAATTGGAATAAAAAAAATAACTGGAGAAAACTGAAATAACTTTAATGTAATGTAATATGCTTTGTTCATATTGTTTAACATACTGTCATTAAAAATGTCTTAAATGTTAACTTTTTTTAAACATTTTAAGTATTTGAAGTACAAACAAACAAAAATAAACTCGAAATAAACATTCAAAACCAATGAAAACGACAAAACTACGACGACACAACAAAAGTTTCTCTTTGTAGGGATACCCCATATTAACCACATACGAGAGTGTTTCTATTTTAAAATATCACCAAACTGCTCATTAAAAGACAAAGACAGATGACTTTTAACCAGGAGAGCTGAGTGCACGATGCACGGGGGACTGTTGAGTCATTGCTGCTCGCATGTTTGGTTAAGCTTAGGCACTAAAATGTCTCAGATATGGAAGAGACTGTGATTTGGTTACAGACAGAACATTTCGTGATACCAAACACATGCTGGTTAGTAGCTGACAAGTTGACAACAGCAGCACATATTTTGCTGCTGAAGGCAAAAACAGCCTGTGGAGAATCAGCATCAAATACACACACAGTGACACGCTGCTAGACATTTTTATTGGGTTATTTTTCATCTACCCACAAGTTCAGTAGTCCGTGCAGTGACGACTTAACTGTTGTCTGTTTTTTTTCCTGCCAAATATTAAAACAATTGAAATAAAAGGTTCCTTGAAATAGAAAAAGAAGCTACGTGTCGAATAACAGACTTTTCATACACTGCAAAGGGGTCTTCAGAGTACCAGCATCCTTTATGTGTATTGTCTTTCTGACTATCATAAAGATTTGTATGAACATGCCTGACTTTAGTTCCCTCATTCAGCCAGCATCTACATATAAGTGAAAGTTGAGGAAAATAGTGGCCGGTCATTTCTCTCTTCGTTCAGGAAAGACTGGCTCTGATATCAGTCATCATCGAGCATAACATTTATTCAGGCAAAGGTGTAAAAGCTGTGGGCTTTACTTGAGTGGTTTCACCCTTTCTAGCAGATGTTGAACCTGCTGCAGGGATTTGAATTTCCCCTTCGGCTACAAGAGCAGATGATGAGGTCTTCAGTCAGTGTTCGAGTCCATCCTGCAGGTTTTTAATGGGACCTGGTGTTTAAGTTCTTCCACATCAAAGTGAGAACATTTTGTGCGCAGCTGGTTTTGTGCACAATAGTGTTTGATCACAATAGGTGAAACTGTTTTAAACTGTTTTAAAAAGTAAGACTTCGTAAATTAGCTCATGCGTCAGTTCAATAAGGAAGATCTGGATCCCTCATCTTCCTGTTTGCTCGGGTGTTCAGCTGCCAGTCTGTTCTTTACATCACTACCACTTTCCCACGCTGTCAAACTCAAAGCTGTCATCATTTCATTAATCCAGTCGTTTTCTTTCCTGCCTTCTTTTAGCCAGTCAGCCTCCAGTTTGCATCCTTTATTCTTTCCCTCGTAAAGACGAGGCCTGGCGATGTCCATGGTACCCTTAAGGACGAGTTTTGAAACTTCAGTATACATAAATAAAGACTTGGTTTGAGGACTATTAAAATAGTTTCCAAGGGTAGCTCCAAAGCTAGAGACCTAGACCCTATACTGCAGGTGCCTAGTCCTAAATCCTGTCACCACTGGGATTCCATTCTGCCACAATGGATCATTGGAGTCTAATTGCCAAATACATTCATTGATTTCTCTGTCTCAATAAATCATGTTCAGTTCTTCCAGATGAACTAACAATTGCTAGTTTGCTGAAATCATTAAGTAAATGAGGAGATTGATGATGCTACTGAAGGGTTCCCTATAAACATCAAAAATAGGATTGGTTGTAAGGGATTGGACAGTCTGCCTGTAAGATCACTAATAACCCAAACAGTTACCACCATGGACTTCTTAAGGTGGAGCAGTTCACCCTTTTATAATGCGTACTGTGCTTCTCAAACATAACAACAATACAGCTGCTGCTGAGAGATGGAAAAGCACTCTGGGAAGTTTATTTCTCACTTCCAGTTTGGATAAAAAAGAAGGTAGACTGTCGGAGAGCGTTATTCACATACAGTAATGAGTGATTTAGCCGGCTGTAATTAGTGACCATAGAGAGATGGATGTCTGCTAAATGGCTAAAACAGTATTAAATTATGGTGTCATAGCACAGACGTCTTTCATAGACTAACCCATTCGTTTGGACGAGATAATCCAGTGTCTCTGAAAACTGCTAAACTACACACACGTTAATCTAGGCAGATTAAATTTATTGCACATCTAATAATATTGGAGACAATGCTTTAACATAAGAATTCCTTTGCTTTGCAGGCAAGTAACGCTAAGTTATCCGCTAATCCTAGCTTGTTTGGGCTGCATTCATAAAGTTGAATGAGAGGAACGCAGAGATGCAGATACCTGCTAATTAGTGCTAAATAATCAACTGTTGCACACATTTCTTGGACAGTCTATTCTTTGATGGCTGTTTTAATCAACAATACTATTGAATATTCACTGGGAAGTATTAGACTGTACTTAAACTATCCTCAAATGTCCAGCACGTCTGTCTCCAGTGGATCTAATTTTTCATCTTTTGAACTTTTTGACAACTATCATCTTTTGATTTGCATATTTTTTCCCTTTTTTGGAGGAACGTGTCATCTCAAAGACAGATGACGTTTACTGATCTGATGCCTGGTTGTTAATGAGTTCTTCTTCCATTACTGCCACCTTCTAGCTGTAGGAGCAACTTACATCCCCCTTGTACTGAAAAACCAAAGAAAAATATATTATATTCAAGAGAAAACATAGTTGGTTAAACTTCAGTATTTTCTAACTAACTTAAAGGAAATGTAAACATTTGAAAATCATGGTTCTTCCCATCTGTACCTCAAGTTATTTTTCAGATAAACAAATAATCAATAACATGCACACGTGTATTTTTCAGCAGGTACTGTATTTAACCTGTACGGTTGCCTTAACAGTCTCCTGCAGGGCGTGAGAGGTGTTGTCCAAAATGGACATTATCTTGGCCAACAGATTTCTGGAACACTGTAAGCATGTCAAAGGAGCTTGCAAAGAAAAGCATCTGGACTTCTTTAAGTTAACTTCTTTAACTCTGTAAGCATGTTTACTCGGGAGTTTATGAGTATTGACTTGCTTTTGGACTTAATTTTTGACTCTTCACATTTTCGTATTTCATTTTAATTTCCCAGCTCGGTGTCTTTATGCTTTACCACCTTGTTGGTTTTGTCTTTTTCATAGAGATTATTAGCAATACCAAATCAAATCAAACATCAGTGCAGAAAGGTGGCAGAAATTTGCCCTGACTGGGTCATTCAAATACTTTTGAAGGGTCACACAGGGTCGTACTATGGAACGTATCAATTCATGGGCTCTGACTGAAGGTGACGGATCAGTGCATAAACGCTCTCAGTGTCTGCATCTTCAGGAATCAGAGTAATGCTGACCTGAGCACTGGCTTCCTTCCAGATCAAGTAAAAATGGCAGCTTGTTAATCCAGTGTCTGTGCATTGCTTTATTAATCCCGGTCCTGGGTACACGCCAGCAAACTCTGCAAGTGAGCCTGTGGGGCTGGTTTTAGGAGCTGCCTGGCCCTGCATCATTAGTATGTGTGAAGTCACTGTAAACATTTGATTAACTGCTGAGAAGCAATTACAAGCAATTAAAGTCCTATTATGATGGCAGTGAAGGACAACGCAAGTTAATCTGGCTATCATCACGATAATTAGCTCATCATTTCCTCACCAGGCCTAATGTACAGAAAATAATAAATAAAAAGGGCAATTTTTGGTTTTCTTGCTTAAGCTTTGCTACAATGTGTGGTCATTTTAAGCAAAGTGGCCTTTGTGTTTTGGGGCATATCATTCTCGCTGTGTAAAAACAACGTACCATTAAACCTCTCAAACTTCATTAGGCACACTTTGCGGTATCACTTGCAAATCTTCGCATGGCGACTGAGTGACAAAGCATTTTCTCTCTCTGTTCTGGTTCTAACCAGTCGGTTTTGTGCTTTGAGCATTTCTAGTGTGGCATTTGCAGAACAAAAAGTCTCACACTCAGTCGTTCTTTTTCTCCCTCTTTCACCCTCCCTGCCCCTCTTCTGTCTCCTTTACTCTTTGTTTTTCTTTCCTCCCCCTCTAGCAACAACCAAACTACTGGAGCTTCAAGGTCAGTGCCAATATTGTGTTTGTGTTTCAGCGTAAATCTGTGCCTCTGTGTGGATTCGTCTCTTAATAGGATAACTCCATTGTGTCTTTGCATGCCTGCTTCTCCACTGCATTAGCGCTGGTCACACGTTGGCACTCACTTCTGCATTTAACTCTTTTAACACTCTTGTGCTGCATGCTGCGACATTTCTCCCTCAGAGTGTTCACATAAGAAAGAAAAAATCCCTGCATGAATCAAATAAGTGCTTTGGTTCACTTTAAACTATGCAAGTAAGATTTCTGATATGCAATTATTGAACACAATATGCCTGTTTCATCAAATATGAGGCAAGAAAAGGTCCAGTTCAGCCTGAGAGCTGCTGGCTGGAGTTTAACTTACTGCTGCTGCTCGCTAAAATTTCCCTATAAAAAGGCACTGTACCAAGCTTGTTATTGGCTGTCTCCAGACCTGCAGATCCCTGCCTACAACTCCCATGTTGTCTGTAATTCAAATTAAGCCTGGTGTTGGTCTCTGATGGTAAAACTAAATCAATGAGAGTTTAGCAGGCAGGATGTGCAGTGGGATTGTCATTAGTGACAGAAATATGGATCAGATTGATTCTGTTCTGCAGGTTGTGCAAATGAATTATTCACCTGTTTGATTGCTGTGATAAATATTTGTTACTTGCATCATAACTAAAGCTAAGATTCCCACAGATTGAGATTTGATGTATGATATGCAAATATGTGCACGCATGTGTGGGGCTAGTTTTGCTGTGCACAGGGTTTTTATCAGCAGTCTTTAGATATATTACCTCTCTGAGTTTCTTCTGTGCAGATAATGTAAGTGCCACGCACTTTGTGACAATCAATATTTGAGCAACAGAATTAGCTGTTGCTCCATCAAGTTTTATTATCTTGTGAAAGAACTTTATTGCCAACATTTTGGACCTCATCTGTTGAAGGTAGTCTAATTCGCCAAAGCAGAGCGAGGGCTATGATAAGCAGCTGCAAGATGGTGAAGTATAGGGAGTAACTAATTCAGGACCGCCACAATAGCAATGTGGCCATCGGGGAGGTTGGTAGACAATACAACAGCAGTCCCCAACCTTTTTTGCGCCACAGACCGGTTTATGTCCGACAATATTTTCACGGACCGGCCTTTAAGGCGTCACCGATAAATACAACAAAATAAAACCAGTACCAAAACATAGAAGATTTATTCATAACACACAGGAAAAGTCCCAGGGAAACCGAGTTAACGATAAAAACCGTTAAAAACCGATTCACACCCAAGCCTCAGCTCTTGTGGACCGGTACCAAACAACTCACGCACCAGCCGGGGGGGGACAGCTGCGATACAAGACAGCTGGTTTGCAACCGAAGACCAAAAGGGTTGTTTTTTTAGTAACATAGATAACTTCATCCGTTCTCTGAGATGGATAAAGAAGATCTAAGTCTATAAATAGGGGTATCCCACCGAAGTAAAGTCTGTGTAGGAAACATCGTGAAGTGCGATCGTGGCTCAAGAGTTGGGAGTTCGCCTTGTAATTGGAAGGTTGCCGGTTTGAGCCCCGGCTCAGACAGTCTCTGTTGTTGTGTCCTTGGGCAAGACACTTGACCTGTTGCCTACTGGTGGTGGTCAGAGGGCCAGGTGGCGCCAGTGTCCGGCAGCCTCACCTCTGTCAGTGCGCCCCAGGGTGGCTGTGGCTGCAATGTAGCTGCCATCACCAGTGTGTGAATGGGTGGATGACTGCATGTGTAAAGTGCTTTGGGGTCCTTAGGGACTAGAAATTGCGCTATACAAATACAGGCCATTTAAATGAAGTGTCAGATCGGTCCGATTTTCAGCCTAAGCCTGACAGGTTGTTGACAGACACAAAATTCCTGGATTCAGACTCTGAATCTTAACGACTCTGATGATATTTGCACAGATGCACGTGCACCTGTAGGCAGGGCACAAGGTTTTTAGCACCAGAAGCTTTCTGGTTTTCATTTCCAGTCCGCTTTGTTGTCAGACTTCTTTTGACCATTTGTGTTTGAGCAGCCTCAAAGGTTAACCAGCAATCTTAAAATGTATCTGCATTCATAAACGATGCTTTTATGGTTTTGGCCCGTGTAAATTTTTTGCTTTTTTTAAATTTGTGGTTAAACTCCTTTATTTGAAAAATAGTCTCATTGAAGCTTTTATGACTACAGTGATGTCTGTGTACTGATAGTGTTTTGGTTGTACTGTGGGCCAGCTGCTTGTAGATACTGCAGAGACATAATGTCTTTCCTTATCTGGACAGTTGGAACAGGGTCATGAAACTGCATGATCACAGCTGCTGCAAAATGTCTCTCCCATTCTCCTTGGTATCGAGACAGTTCCCACAATAATGTTTGCTTCAATTCATCTGCATCTCCTCAACAATTATTTCTGCACGAGGTTAATCCTGGTCTCATTGTAAATTCCATAACAACCTTGATACCTGCGGGCTATCCCAGAAGCCCTGAAAAATTTGCCTTTTAGGCTTAAGCAGTCTGAAAGGCGTAGTATCCTCCATCAGTAGAGAACCCACTGATCTGGGAACCATGCATCTATGTTTTAATTTCTCTGTTTGGTCATTGTTTCTGGTCCAGCAAAGAAGTGCATAAACGTAGAGTGTTTTGAAATATACTGTAAAAAGATGCAGACTTTGGCTACCATATTTGCTTCAACAGTTCATGTATTCAGATTACATACTCAGTAAGAAAAATGGTGCATTCCATCCATCAGTCCTGTCACCACAAATACACCATTAATCCTCTTACGTTTCCTTTAATACAACCAAGAGGCCAATTTAACATTTTGAGTCTAATTTCTTAACATCTAGCGCACAGATTGTCTTTAAATTTCCAGCACGTTTTCATTTCCCTTTTTATCAACTTTCAGCAGAGTTTGGTGCCTTTAAAGGCTATGTGTACTTTCTGTGCAGGCATAGGCTGTGAAGGATATAAGACTACCTCTTGGAAGTGTGAACTTTACATTTGGCGTTCTCTGTAGCGGTGAGAAAGGGATGAATGTGACCTAAAGCTGGAGCATATTACCTTCTCATGCATGGATGGATGGATGGATTCAAAAGAGTGATTCAGACCTCAAGCGAGCAGCAGAATCATTTTCTCGTAGAAGTCTTTACACTCACGGGGTCGCCCTCTGGTGGCCCTTAGAAAGAATGAAGGTGTAGCTCTTTACACCTTGAAACCTTGCATCAGAAGGTAGTGAGGGTGGTCTCCAGCTGTGCAGTTACCCTTGGAAATACAATGGAAACTATTCTAACCTATTAACCAATTAAAAGGTAAGAAAACTACAGGTGCAGACGAGGTCATCAGATGTCGTCTTTATGGGGGAAACAGTTAAGGGCTTCAGAGCCCATGTTCGTATTTCCCTGTGATGGGCTACCCTGGCTTTTACCCAGTAACATTCTGGGATAGGCTCCAGCCCTCCCAGGACCTTGAACTGATTAAGCAGTTCAAAATACAGTTTGATGACTGCATTCATCTTTTAAATACAGTTTATACACAATTCAGGAACCTTATATAAGTGTAGTTAGTAAACCTTTAGGTGTCATTATCAGGCATCCACTCCCTTAAACGTATTTATAAGACATTTTTAATCAGGTTATTTCAGTTCAAGGTGCTTTAAGAATGATTCCCATGAAGAATAAATGTAAAACAAAAGAAAAATTCTAGTTTAAAGTAGCATATAATATTTTATTTAACATGCAGCAACTGAAGTAAATAAAATAAGATAAAAAGAAAAAGAATAAAAAAGATTAGCTAAATGGAAGCCGTGAAGTCATTAATCATGCCCTTTTATTGAATGCAATCTGGACTCAGTTACACACTTAGTGACAGAAAATATTAGAGATAGGATTAGTTGACATGTAGCAAAAATCCAGAGCCAAATTTAAACCCACGCTATCACAAACACGTGGTCTGCTATCCAAGATTTTGAAAACACTCAGAGACCCCTGAGTGCGCCCTTATTGAATCCAGCCATCGGAATGAAACCTTGTTTCCGGCTGGAGTCGGAAATTTCACCAAGCGCTGGCGAGGCTGCAATGCAAATAGCATGACATGAAAGGATTAATTTGAAAACAGGCCCATTAGTGGTCATCACTCACTGCCAGCTTCAGCGGCTGTGGAGCTACCAGCTGGTTTCAAACCGAGGAACTTGCTCCCACTCTGTGAAAAATTATATAAAGTGACAGAGCGAGTTTACATCCAGCATCTGCAGACAGCGTTTGTGCCTTCAGCTGTGTTAGCACAGGCACGTTTGAAGAATGTCACTTAAGTTCAAGTGTCAGCTAAATAATAAGAAAACGGATCATTCAGGGCGAGCTGGAGTGTGGGCAGACTCCAGGTTTGTTGTGCGTCTGTTGTTGTGTGCAGTCTAATCATAGATTGTTGCCACTGTGACATCACCCATTGGTTCTGAAGCCTCGGCGTTACCATTTTGGCCCCTGCTATGTTGTTGTTTTAGAGCTAGTAGCAACCATATACAAGTTATTAGCTGAGCTTGGTTAGCAAGGTGCATAGCTGTAGAGCACAGGTATCTAATTATTGCTAAATACAGACTGATTGGACAGTCTTTACCACACAGAAAGCCGTATTATTTGTCACACAATCCAAATAAAATGTTCCAAATGGCACCAGCAGCACAAAAACCTGTTGGGAAATCTAGTTCTGTGTCTCGAATTAGTGGACATGAGGCAAATCTTTAACTTTTAAGACTTAAAAATACAAAAATGGGTTCATTATAAAAATCCTCATACACCATACAGATGGTCATATGTAAAACTATCCATAGAGGCTAAAGCTGCTTTTGGTCCCAGGCTGTGAACATATTTATTTCTGCTGAAAAGTTGGACATTTTAACATGTGAAGTATTTGGACGGACTTGGTTTTGGAGTCAACCTCATGTGGCCGTTAGAAGAACTGCAGGTCCACTTTGGTTTTTATTTTTTAGCCCTGGAGGTTGATGACTGGGTGTAATAAGTA